AGTTTTGAATCCAGGATGACCCCAATATACTTATAGATCTTGACTTGCTCTATTTGATAATTATTTAAGGAATGTAATTGGGGAAAAATAACTTCCTGCTTTAGTCCCGGTGAGAAGCATAGCACCTTGGTTTTGGAGGCATTCAGGACTAGTTTAAGAGCAACTTGCTGATGTTGTAGTTTGTTTAAATCACCCTGGAGCTTAGCAATCACGTCATCCGGAGTGCGGCCAGCAGTAATCAGCATCGTGTCATCTGCAAAAATATTTACCCTGGAATGATCCAGGTCAGTGCCCAAGTCATTGACATAAAGAGAGAACAAGAGGGGGCCGAGGATGGAACCCTGTGGAACCCCTTTTGTTATCTTAACACTGTTTGACCTCCAACCATCTGTGAATACAGTTTGGGTGCGAGAAAAGAGGTAATTTTTTAACCATTTTACTGTGTTTTCGGAAAAACCGAGGCAATTTAGTTTACTAAGCAGGGTGGTGTGGTCTACTGTATCAAAAGCTTTGGACAGGTCAAGAAAAAGACAGGCACAGTACTGCTTATTATCAAGGCTACTGTAAATTTGATTCAGAGAGTCTAATGCAGCAGATGTGGTGCTGTATTTTTTTCGGAACCCAGATTGTTTTAAATGTAGTAGATTGTTGGTGGACAGGAAACTGCTAATTTGGTAGTCCAATAATTTTTCAAAAATTTTCATCAATGGGGACAAAATTGAGATAGGTCGGTAGTTATTGGGATCATCTTTAGGGCCCCCTTTGTGAAGTGGACGGACATAAGAATGTTTCCATTCTAGAGGAACTGATGCTTCTTTGATAGACAGGTTGAAAATATGGGCTATAGGTTTGTATATTAGGTGACCAACAGTTAGTACAGCAAAGACGGGAAAACTATCTGCTCCGGTAGAAGAGGACCCTTTGAGGTAGGACAGTTATTTCAGAACATTACTTTCGTGGATTGGCTGGAAACTAAATTCGTTTAATGTTTGGACAGGGGTGTAGGAATTTGCATGAGCAGGGGTTACTCCCAATACATTATCAAAAAGATTACCAGCTTCAGAAAAATGAAGGTTAAAATTGTCAACTATTTTTTGGGGATCTGAAAAATATTCCCCATTTCGGTTAAGCTCAACGGGCAGATTGTCTGTTTTGAATGCATTTTCGAAACATTTGATTGTTTTCCAAAAAATCCTGGCATTTCCATGTGATTCCAGGAGAGTGGAGGAAAAGTAGGCATTTTTTGCATGCCGTATTTTTTTGACGCATCTATTCCTTAAAATCCTGTATTCTAGCCAGTCATTTACCAAATTACTTTTCTGAGCACATGCCCAAGCCTTGTCCCTAGCTTTCATGAGCTTTGTAATCAAAGGATCATACCATGGTGGGCGGTTGCCTTTAGTTTTAAATCTAACCAACGGAGCATGTTTGTTAAGAATTTGGAGAAACGTGGACCTGAAAGTCTCCGAAGCCGTAGTCAGGTTGGGGATATCACAGACCTTATCAATATCCGAGTGAAGCACATCATTAGTAAGTGCCTGAGTGGTGAAGTGCCTCAAGGAGTGCTTCTCAACAATTTTAGGGGGGGCTTTGGGTCTGGCTGATGATCTCACCCCAAAAATGAAGGTTTGATCACTAAGGTTTTTACCCAGAACACCAGTCAATGCGAAATTATGAGGGGCATTTGTCAATAGGACATCAAGCAGAGTTGACTGTCCCGGATTTTTTAGGTTGGGTCTTGTGGGGACATTTATTAATTGAAACAAGTTAAATTCATCTGTAAAATCTGTGGCCACGGCCGGCAGGTTTAGCCAATTCCAATTTATATCACCCACTAAAACTATTTTGCCTTTAGGGAGGCCCCAAAAAGCTCTCTCAGTGCAGATGCAGCTTCAACATCCTTCCCACTAGGCGGTCTATAGCAGCACACTACCAATATCTGTTGATTATTTGGGAGAGTTATTCTGAGAGCCAAACCTTCAAAGCAACATTTTTCAAACAAGGAGTGAGCTGGTGAACATGCAATAGTATTATGGACATAGATGGCAATTCCACCTCCTTTAGATCCTCGGTCAAGCCGAAAAAAGTTGTAGTTGTCAATCGTAATCTGCAAGTCATTGACAGCAGGAGTGAGAAATGTTTCTGTTAGGCAAAAAATGTCCGGGTCAAGATTTTCCACTTCTAGCTTTAGTTGACTTAAATTAATCACAAGCCCTCTGATGTTGACATGTGAAACACCAACACCTTTTCTGCCAAAAAAATCTACAGAATTATACGTGTTCTTTACATTTGGGCCAGGATGAAGCTCAATACCACCCAGAAATAAGAAAAGTAGAATTAATAGTTTGCACAAGTATTTTCTGTGAAAGTATGAAAAGCGGTGAACCTTGGACGAATAGCAGCAGCTCACAGATGGTGTTATTTTTAAGAGCAGAATGAAGTTTGGAAGGAGTGCTGGTGAAGTAATGGGACAAAGATAGGGTTTAAAAGGATACAATGATGGAGTGTAGACGTGTCTATGAGCTGTTTCATTTGCAGGTGTAGTGGCAAATCGAGCAACAAGTATGGACGCAAAGTAACGAGGGTAGCTGTTTGTAGAGTTGAGTGTGGCACTAGATATGGCCGGGAGGGACAGCAGTATGATACACAGCAGGAGAATTGCCATCTTTAAAATATCCGGGGTATACACAGATTTACACACAAGTGGAATAGAAAACAATATATACTTGTAGGCCGAGCGTGAGAAAAACGTCTTGCCGCACTCGTCACACATGCACTGCTTCTCGCCCATGTGCTAGGGTTCAACAGCGCCGCCCCCCCCCCCCCCCCCCCCCCCCCCCAGACAGGGACAGCAGATTCTTGGCTGTTGTGTGCTCGGCTGAACCGCTTGCACCACCTCCTTTCCCCGCTGCAGGATGGTGCTTGAGCTAGCCCTCCTTGAGCTCAGCCCACGACTGGAATGTCGTTTCTTGGCCTCTCGTGTCTCTGCTGCCCGACCAGACGGCCCCACTGAAGCCCACACAGGGGACTCTTCTTCATTCACGACCCTTGGCCATCTTGGCGATCTCCGTGAAGTTGTCCAGGATGGAGCTCACGTCGTCCTTGAGCCGCTTGTTAAACGACTGCAGCAGCCCCTGCTTGCTCTGGGGCAGCGCCCGCAACATCTCGGGGCAGCAGCAGTGGACAGAGCACGGCTCTCCCTCAGGGCAGCAGTGGACGGAGCACAACTTTGCCTCAGGGCAGCAGTAGAGAGAGAGAGAGAGTCTGGCTCCCTCACGGCAGCGGTGGAGATAGCGCGTCTCTCCCTCAAGTCAGTAGTGGAGAGCACGGGGCTCCCTCCGGGCAGCAGTGGACGGGGCACGGCCCTGCCTCAGGGCAGCAGTGGAGAGAGCACGGCTCTCCCTCAAGGCAGCAGTGGACGGAGTACGACTTTGCCTCAGGGCAGCAGTGGACGGAGCACGCACTAGGCCGCTACAGTAACTGTAAGCCTATGGTCTTACCTAGTTTTTTCCCGACGGGGAAAGCTCACCTTACCTGGTAAAGCACGAGGCCGTTTCGGTAACTGAAAGCCTAAGGCCTTACCTAGTTACGCCCACCGGGAAAATGCTCACTCTCCGTCGTCCAGTCGGGCGAATTCCCTCTCAGCCATCGCAACGTCCATCCCAGACTCCGGTCTCGCGCAGAGGGCCTGCCGTACATCATGATGATTGATTGTCCTCGTCGTCTTCTTCCTGTCATGACTGATGTCGATGTGGAGCAGCAACTGTGATTTTTACATTGAGATGGTTGAGCCAGTTGATTGCGTCCGGAACATCGGAGTGGTGCATTGTTTAATAATAGGGTTTTTCTTTTTTTTTTCTGGCAACAAAACTGAAACCTTTTTACAAGGATTCATGTCTGCATTAACCACAATACCTACAGTCAAAATGCAAACAAAAAAACATACTATGATAAAAATGCAAACAAAAAAACATACTATGATAATATATGCACTGCATATATTATCATAGTATGTTTTTGTTTGCATTTTGACTGCAGGTATTGTGGTTAATGCAGACATGAATCCTTGTAAAAAGGTTTCAGTTTTGTTGCCAGAAAAAAGGGGAAAAACCCTATTATTATATTTTGGCACTGGCAAAGGAGGTCTAATGATGATGGTACATTGATGTAATGCTGATTCCTTTGTGTTTGTGAATCGGGACATTGAGTTGACGTCATCTGTTTCGTGGTTCTGCATCTGGTGGTGACCACAGTCGCCGCACACTGCCAGCGAGTTTTTTTTTTATTTCCCATCCGTACATCGTCAACACCATCACCGAGTAGAACCACGTCTGCTGCTACCATGGATCGTGCAGTGGACGCGGTTCAGGGGTTGTGGACGCGGTTCAGGGGTCGTGAACGCGGTTCAGGGGTCGTGGACGCGGTTCAGGGGTCGTGGACGCGGTTCAGGGGTCGTGGACGTGGTTCAGGGGTCGTGGACGTGGTTCAGGGGTCGTCGACGCGGTTCAGGGGTCGTCGACGCGGTTCAGGGGTCGTGGACGCGGTTCAAGGGGCGTGGACGCGGTTCAGGGGTCGTCGACGCGGTTCAGAGGTCGTGGACGCGGTTCAGGGATCGTGGACGCGGTTCAGGGGTCGTGGACGCGGTTCAGGGGTCGTGGACGCGGTTCAGGGGTCGTCGACGCGGTTCAGGGGTTGTGGACGCGGTTCAGGGGTTGTGGACGTGGTTCAGAGGTCGTGGACGCGGTTCAGGGGTCGTGGACGCGGTTCAGGGGTCGTGGACGCGGTTCAGGGGTCGTGGACGCGGTTCAGGGGTCGTCGACGCGGTTCAGAGGTCGTGGACGCGGTTCAGGGGTCGTGGACGCGGTTCAGGGGTCGTGGACGCGGTTCAGGTTGTCGTGGCCCCGTGAGCCTCGGATCTTTCCCGCACATCAACCACACAAAGTGTTCCCCCCACGTCTTCTTTAAAGCGCGCCATGCGCGTGCCCGCGATGTGCTTGCAGGCTGCTGCTGTCGTCGTCATCGCCCGGCAATTCGTGCGTGTGCGAGAGGCGGAACGCCCTGCAGCTGCACACCGACTACCCGCCCGCGGAGCTGGAGGCCATCAGGCTTCGACGCCAGCTCCAATTCCAGGAGTTCATGCAGAGGTCAGCCGCGGCCTGTGCTTCAGCAGCAACTGTCCTGCTTGCTGTTCTGTGTAGGGTTCCCATCCGGGTTAGGTAAAGGGTCGGGGACAGTGGGGGTCGGGGGGTGTACTGAGAACTGGGAATCGAACTCGGATCACAACTGACAACAGCCGCTCAAGCATGCCACCCGCCACCCGAGGGGCTTCCGCCCGTTCGGGTTTGGCACAGTCAATGCGTCAATTGGAATCTGTTTTCGGGATTCAGACATTGATTTGTACCGACACAGAGACACCAACAGAGACGCGGAGACACACACAGATACGGACACACACAGACATTGAGGAACTCATGGGGACACGGGCAATTTATTGTTGTGGATTTCGGCAGCGCCACCCGACTGCCCACGAGGTCCGTATCATAAAAATAAATATCGTAAAACCTCTCTCCGCTTCGGGGCTCCACAAGCCAGTGGGTACCTGAGCCAGTATCAAGCCTGGATAAAGTATGAGGGTCAGGGGAATGGGTGCTGATTCTTCGGCCATAAGGAAAAAAAAGAAATCCTATGCAATGACAATCATAGCAACGAAATACTGTCTCGGACGTCGTCCGGGTCAACAAGGTCCGTGTCTCCAATTGCCCAACCGGGTAACTAGCACAACCAGCACAGCGAGCACAAGCTCAAAATGACAACAGAAGAAATCACAGTAGGGACATGGAATGTTAGAACGTTCCGAGCAACAGGGCAGTTAGAGTTACTCGTGAAAGAAATAGAAAGGTATAGGTATGACATTTTAGGACTATCAGAAATTAGATGGACGGTTGCAGGGGAGATAGGCAGAGGTTAATTCATTTGGTACGGAGAAGAAAAGCAGCAGATTATAGAGGAGTAGAATTCATATAAGTTCCAGAGCAAAAACAGCTTTATTTGGATACAAAACCAGCCAACTCAAGAATAATTGTTGCAAAATTCAAGGGACAACCTTTAAATATTTTAGTTATCCCGGTATATGCACCAACATCGGACAGCACAGAGAAGGATAATGAAGAGTTTTATGATAAGATAGAAGGAACCTTGAAGGAATAATCCAGAAAAGATTTTAAGATAATTGTAAGAGACTGGAATGCGAAGATTGGAAAGGATAACTCCGGATGGGAGCAAATACTGCAAAATAATGTGTATGGAGAAATACATGTGTAATGAGCTCAGATAGGCGCACACAACTTCTTGCGAGGCAACAATATTTATTAACACCAACACGTTACACTTAACATAGGGTGGTAACCAACGACCTGCTCTAACACACGCCAGGTGGGCTACTGGCGGGTCTGCTGACTGGAGGCTTGACTCTTCTTAGGAGGCGTCTTCACGATGCATCTTCATTCTTGACACGGGCAGCCTCGAGTCCCGTGAGGGGGTTGCTTATATGGGCCTCGGCGTGTCCGGGCCCAACCCTGGTCACGCCTGCCTTCGAGAACCCTCTCGAAGCTGCTCGGCTGTCCACGTGGCCCCCCAAAGGTGCCCCCGGCCCCCACCTTGATCCGGTCACGTGTCCAGCCGGGTTCACTCAGAGTGCCAGGTCCTTACACAACCCCCGTGGCCCTCACCCACGGCCACCAGATCCCTGAACCGGCCCTGACGTCATTCCCGCCACCAGACGGTATGACGTCATGCATGTGTGTGTGTGTACACAGTAGTGACGCTAACCAGTCACTACGTGATTATCACCTTAGACAGCACGTCACAGAATTAATCTGACACATCGGCATTGTCGACATTACTTCACTCGTTGCATCTTCGGTGGAGGCCAGTGGCGTAACGAGCGTGGGGGCAGGGCAGGGGGGTGGCTTGCCCCCTCTTACCCCACACCTCTGGTGGCCGAGGCTACGAGTTTGGGCATCCCTTGACAAGCACCGTGAGATTTGTTTTCAGCAACAGCGTCGGAGAACCAAAAAAAACTTATTTAAACGCGGTTTACTTTTATTTTGCCATAGAAATGATTTAAATTAGTTCCACTTTTATTTTTAATTTTATTAGAGCAGCGACGTAACGTTATCAAAGAGTTACCACGGAATAGCAGTGGCTGCGTTTTGTGAAGACGAAGCTGCGCCCCTACGGCGTTAGGGGCCGTCCATAAATGACGTCACACACCTAGGGGTGGGGGGAGGGGGGGGTCACACATTTGTGACGATGTGTGACGAGGGGGGGGGGTTGTTTGAGAAATGTGATGTCACATCAAAATGCGCAACTTTAAATAAACATAGACAACACGTTCTACTTAATTAAATATACTTTTTTAATGAATGTCTTCTCCTACAACATCAGAGTGCAGCGCCACATTAAATACGCACTACAATGACAATAGTTTAAAGCGATTTGAATCATGTTTAATTTTTTTTTGGGGGGGGGGAGCGTGGCAGAGCTTTGTGACGTCATATTTGAGGGGGTGGGGGTGTCTGACTTTTTGTGACGCCGTGTGACGACGGGGGGGGGGGGGGTCAAAAATCGCGTGACGCTATTTATGGCCGGCCCCTTACATGTTTGAGACCGTGACGACCACGTGATGAGGCAAGAGGAGCCGTTTTCGATATTAGCCCACTGCTTGGGGGTCAAATGCCTCATCACCACCACAATGGGGAGGGAGCCACACAATAGAGGTAACTTGCAGCCGCTACGCTGCTGTGCCCCATTCATTCCATTCAAAAGAATAATTGTTTGACAGTTTCCCAACCCTCGAGTTGAATGGAGTAATCAGAGGTGCTCGGACAGACAAAGGTCCCCCGTGTAGCCTTAACAGGCTGTAGGGGCAAGTGCTGTTAGCGAGCAGCACCTATAAAGTCCGGCACGGCACACGAGGGTTGCCAACACCACGCCCGGCCGCCTTTGTCTCCATCGCCACCAGGTACTCATTTGAGGCTGAGTCGACCTAGAGGAGGCCCAGGACCAGTTCAGATAATTGTCACCGGTGTTTGCCGTGAGCGGGACTCGAACCCGGGTCGCCAGGTTCATAGCGGCAGCGCGCTAACCGCCGCACCACCGCTCCCCAGACAGACACACATTGTGTCACACACTCTAAGCCGTGGTATGATTATACACTGTATTATTTGAAGGTGTTATGCATCCTAAATAAATATGGTTACACATTTCAAAGCTTACTCACCTCGGCACACTTTTCACAGAATAAATTCCATCAACAAACCGTAAGATAGGAACCATTTATATTTTAACAATCCTTACTCTTCAATTAAGACGTCGTTCCTGAATGTGTCCGCAATCTCCCTGTACACGCGATTTTATGCGCTTTCAGATGCACTTCTGCGGCCGTCTGGAACGCTCTTCTTTCCGACATTCGGAAGCCACTGGAGTTAGAGTATGCACTTTTAAATATAGATTGAAAACTAATTTCTTTTCTTTAAAACTGCGTTTTGTTTTTAGTCTGTCCTCCGCACCTCCGATTAGCACGTTTGGCTACGTATTGTTGCGATAGAAGTTCACCAAATGACGCCATTGGTGCCACACATCCCAATGCACGAGCCTCCTGAAAGGAATCTATACACTCAGTCTGGCTTCCCTGCCTAGATACTCATCCTCATCCTCCTCTTCTTCTTCTGCCACACAGCTAAGGTTCGGGGTAACAAGCTAACTTGAATAGCGATGATGATATGTCCCACCTTGAGCACAGGGTCTCTGCAAACAGGTGTTACTGGATTTGAAGTTTTAATGACTGCAAGGATCCATACTCTTTGGTTCCTTCGGTAAAGTCACGTAGGTGAAAAATGAAATGAAAAATAAAAAAGAATAAAAATAGAAATAATCAAATTAAATCACAATTTGATTCTTTCTTAATTTTTTTCCCACCTACGTGACTTTACCGAAAGAACCAAGGAGCATAGATTTCACTGGTTTGAATTATTGCTGCTTCACAGCGGCGGCGAAAGTGATTCCAAGCACCGTACTGCGATTGCCTGTGAAGTATTTGTAGGTTGGATGGTGGAGACTCAGAGGGTGGCCTCTTGTTGTGCGTGTGTCAGACGAGACTCCCAGCAAAGCCAGGTGCTGGTGGCGGAGCCCAACTTGCCCCTCGCCTACCCCACTCGGGGCGTGGAGGTGCGGCCTCAGCAGAGCACCCTAATCCCGGGTACGAAGAGAGGACCCCCGCTCCTCCTGGCCTACAGCTCGCGGTCGCAAGGAAGCCACCAATGTCATCACCATCACCCCGTCATCACCATCGCTACCACCATTATCGTCATCATCACCACCACCTTCATCATCACCACTACCACCACCATCATCACCACCACCTTCATCATCACCACTACTACCACCATCATCGTCATCACCACCACCACCTTCATCATCACCACTACCACCACCATCATCACCACCACCTTCATCATCACCACTACTACCACCATCATCATCACCACCACCTTTATGATCACCACTACCACCACCTTCATCACCACCACCTTCATCATCACCACTACTACCACCATCATCGTCATCATCACCACCACCTTCATCATCACCACTACCACCACCTTCATCATCACCACTACTACCACCATCATCATCATCACCACCACCTTCATCATCACCACTACCACCACCATTATCGTCATCATCACCACCACCACCTTCATGATCACCACTACCACCACCTTCATCACCACCACCTTCATCATCACCACTACCACCACCATTATCACCACCACCTTCATCATCACCACTACTACCACCATCATCGTAATCATCACCACCACCTTCATCATCACCACTACCACCACCATCATCACCACCACCTTCATCATCACCACTACTACCACCATCATCGTCATCATCACCACCACCTTCATCATCACCACTACCACCACCTTCATCACCACCACCTTCATCATCACCACTACCACCACCTTCATCACCACCACCTTCATCATCACCACTACCACCATCATCGTCATCATCATCACCACCTTCATCATCACCACTACCACCGTCATCACCACCACCTTCATCATCACCACTACTACCACCATCATCGTCATCATCACCACCACCTTCATCACCACCACCACCACCACCTTCATCATTACCATCACCACCTTAATATTTTGATGTCCTTCATCAAAACCATCACCATTTCCATCATCACCTTTCTCATTACCCTGCCATCGTAATTATCACCACCACCGTCATCATTGTCAACAACAGCACCATCACCATAGTGATGCGAGTATATTGTCTTTGAACCTGAGTTGTCCATGGCATACAGTACATGAATGCTCACGGCAAGTGGCATCTGAACTAAGTTCGGGCAACTTTCATGTTGGCTTAGTATAAAATGTATTTCGCGCTTCGTAACATCAATCTTCAGCAGCATCATCAGCAACCTCAAACTTACCCACGAATAACAAAAATTGGGATCAGACGCAGTAGCGTATCCCTTCTGGCAGATAGTACCCAGTCTGCGGTTAGAGAGCGACTTTGTCACAGTCCTGCACCCTGAGCCCTGAACCTTGCGGCAACGTGCCGCACTGCAAACGCAGCGGCATCGCTTGGAACCGCACGGATGCGGTCAGCGATAAGCTCGGTGCGTTCCGAGTGAACTGTTTTACCAATGCATATCTCGCGATGAAATGTCAGATTACGCTGTGGAGACAATGGGGCACTTGTGTTTATTAAATACCCAGTAGGTTTTGATTTAAAGCTTTCGTGACTGCAGGGATTCATATTCTTGGTTCTTTCGGTAAAGTCACCACGTAGAAGGGAAACAATAAAATGATAAAAATATAAAACAATACAATTCTCACAACGTTTCGACTGCAACACGAGCAATCATCATCAGGTGTGAAAACTACGCGACTTTACCGTAAAAAACCAAGAATATTAATACTCAGTGGGTTGTTTTTTTTCGGGTAAGGCCCGAAAGAAAAAAACTGTTTCTCGATGGCAACCCAGCCAAGGTAACCCCAGGTAGCCTTCAAACAGGACCCCCTGGCATCCGTGCAGTGTGCGACGTGACAACGACATCGCAGCGGTGTCATCAAAGACTGTGCGTACGACTGTGCACACCAATGCTGGGGACATGCACGTGTCGCCCTGAAGGTGTACTCTGGGAAACCATACAGATCTGTACATGTGCTACTACAGCCCTTTAGTCAATGCACTGCTGGATGAGGGTTTCCCAAGGCCATGGTGGGTCGCAGGGGTTATTTGACCATACTTCACCACGCTGGTCGATGTGGGTTGGTGTAAGCGGGGAGAGGGCCGTGAGGAGGCAGCAGCAGCGGCAGCGGCAGCGCCCTCTTCCCCTGACCCCGCTCGCGTGTTTCTCTCGCTCGCAGGCCTGGGGTTGTACACCGCCTCCCGAGACACGTACGAGGTGAGTCCACTTCTTTCCTCTCTGGAGTTTGCGATGATTTGGCGATCCCTGCCCAAACAGAAGAAGGGGAGATGAATTAATGGCCCTCATGGTGGAGGTAGTTGGGCAGGGTGAGTGACCGGTTGGTGGAGGTAGTTGAGCAGGGTGAGTGACCGGTTGGTGGAGGTAGTTGGCAGGGTGAGTGACCGGTTGGTGGAGGTAGTTGGCAGGGTGAGTGACCGGTTGGTGGAGGTAGTTGGCAGGGTGAGTGACTGGTTGGTGGAGGTAGTTGGCAGGGTGAGTGACCGGTTGGTGGAGGTAGTTGGGCAGGGTGGGTGACCGGTTGGTGGAGGTAGTTGGCAGGGTGAGTGACCGGTTGATGGAGGTAGTTGGGCAGGATGAGTGACCGGTTGGTGGAGGTAGTTGGCAGGGTGAGTGACCGGTTGGTGGAGGTAGTTGGGCAGTGTGAGTGACCGGTTGGTGGAGGTAGTTGGCAGGGTGAGTGACCGGTTGGTGGAGGTAGTTGGGCAGGGTGAGTGACCGGTTGGTGGAGGTAGTTGGCAGGGTGAGTGACCGGTTGGTGGAGGTAGTTGGCAGGGTAGGTGACCGGTTGGTGGAGGTAGTTGGCAGGGTGAGTGACCGGTTGGTGGAGGTAGTTGGGCAGGGTGGGTGACCGGTTGGTGGAGGTAGTTGGTAGGGTGAGTGACCGGTTGATGAGGGTAGTTGGGCAGGGTGAGTGACCGGTTGGTGGAGGTAGTTGGGCAGGGTACGGAAGGCCATTTTCCCTTCAGATGATAAACATTTTTGAGCATCACCACTGCGCCGTGCCGCCCCCCGTCGCGTGACTCCCGTGCCCAGGTGACGCTGTGGGCCCAGCTCGGCGTGTTCGACACGGTGTCCGAGGTGGAGGGGGTGGAGGTGCAGGGACTTCAGACGCAGCGCCTCTCGCTCAGCAGCCGTCACCTGCCCAGCCTCAATGTGCAGCTGCGAGCGGTCACCTACACCAACACGGCATACTTGCCCGGCACGTCCGAGATGGGTACGGCGTTAGTCTGCATCTCGCTCTCACTCTCGACGCGTGTCGCGCCCCTAAACTTTCAACTGAACTCCTTCAGGATGGTGTTACTCCCACGGTAAAACTTCACGTCACGTCGCACATGCAAAGAATGCATCACCGAGGATTCGGGAGAATTGTTTGCGACCATTATTGCGGATAGAACAAACGAGGGGGCAATACGGGACAACATAAATGAAGCAAAGGTCACGGATTCCCCCAATGCAACCGTGACCCTTAACTGTGACAACTCGTGGGGTCGTTGGGTGTAACGGTGTCCAGCACGAGCCCACGCGCAGACCCATGCCGCGTTCTCACGGCCACCGACAAGCAAGCTCACCGGCCTGCCGCTTGGTCCTGGGCCATTTCAGCACGGCTCGAAAATCTTGTCACATCACGTCGTCCAATATTACAATGAAGATTAGTAAAGTAGGGTTGAAGAGAGGCTCCCAGCGGATTAGGCCACGCTAAATAAGAGACAGGCAACAGAGGAGACAGGCGTGGAGAGACAAACGCATCGACACGGTATCACCCTCCCGTTTCTTCCACACCACCGTTCCTACTTTCTATCCCTATTGCTGCCCCCCCCCCCCCCCCCGTCCCATTCCCCTAGTGCTCATGAAGAGTGGGAGCCACAAAGCAGAGATCCCGATCCGCGTGGCGCACCCCGAGATTCCACGCCTCTACGACAGCGGCGCGGGTGAGCGGCGGTGGAGCGTGCAGACTCTCAGCCATAGCCAGGCCCAGGCACTGGCTCCATCAGGGACAGCCTCGGTGGGCCAAGTTCGCTTGTCTTGAACCTACAGTCCTGAAGTTACGGTACTTCCCGAAGGCCATGTGGCTTATGGCGCATTGAGACCTACGGTTGAAATGTGCCTCACAAAATGTTAAATACTGTATTATTACATTATGGGATTTAAAAAAATGACACCACTTGACGGGAGTTGTCAGTGGCCGTGAATTCGGTGTGCCACGCTACGAACCCGGCGACCTGAGATCTATTCCCGCTCATGGCCACCAACAGTAACGAATATCTGAAGCGGGCCTGGTACCTCCCATATGTTGACTCGGCCTAAAATGGGTATCTCGTGCAATGTGTTAACGTCGCCACTCAGGAAACAAAGGCAGCCGGGCGTGGTTCTGGCCACCTACCCCCTTGAGCGCCATGGCGGCCTTTCGTAGGTGCTCACTATTCGGGAGTCTTCTTCGTCTTTGCATGTAAATGATTTTCGTCATAAATGTGGGGAAGCAGCAGCTCAGCTGATCTCGCACCGCTCTGCGAACTCGGCGACCTGACTCCTGGTGACAGCGAACGTCGTCCGTGAATGATATCGGAACGCGTCCTGGGCCTCCCCGTAGTTTGGCTCGCCCTTCAACGAGTACCTTGTGCGACTTGTGATTATCAGCGCCGAGGAGAGAAATGTGGCCGGGTGTGGTTCTGGCCACACGAGCCGCTCGTGCGACGTTGATGAGTCCTCACCAACAGCACTGGCCGTACGGGGTGGGGTCGTGACCTTCATTATTGTGACCGCGCGCGACCCGCGGCCAGATGGTGACATCGGCAACCTCGTCACGGTGGTGACCAAAACTTTCCTGCGCTACGACAAGCTGAGGGGACTCATCCGAAGCATCCGCCAATTCTACCCCACCGTCACCGTCATCGTGGCGGACGACTCAGACCACCCCGAGATGCTGCAGGAGTCGCGCGTGGAGCAGTACATCATGCCCTTCGGAAAGGTGGGCAGTGGCTCTCGAATCCACGCGGAGATGCAGGCTGAGAGCATTCACGATTCGTAACTGAACGTCGCGACTTTGAAAAATGCCTGCCTCGGTAGATCATGCTTACTTTACGTATGCAGGCACTTACCATGTTTGGTCATCCTCGGTGCACTGCCGTCTCGAGACACGTGACTAAACTATCGGAACGTATATGTTTACTCGGCCAATATTCACCATTGACTTTTTGGGTCAGGCTAGGAAACGATCCTGCCCAGTTGTGTTACATAAACCTCCCACCGCCAAATGTGGCCAAACAAATTGAGTTGTCACGCGCGCGAGCGTTAAACACGCCAATTGCAGTTCCAGCTCATACACGGGGGAAGGTGACAAACGATCCGCACAACCAGATGTAGCAGCGACAAGATACGCACGCCTCGTTTAAAACTGCATCAAGAATCATCAGGACAAGATCCAGGTGGTCGAAATTAAATTCACGAACCCAGAGTGGCCGACGTTTTCGCGCAAGTGAATGACCAAATTAAAGCAGCAGACCAAACACGTGACTCTATTGCATGAATCGTCATCGACTGGACTAAGACGAGGACTAAAATAAATACAATGTTGACTTAACACTGCCCTCTTGTACCCGATCAGTACGGCCAAGATGCGGCCGTTTCAGAACGTTAGATCTCGCGTGATCGTACAAAATGAACCCGCGGGCCATAGCCCCCCGCCCGGCTTCAATGTGACGCTCTGCTGCCTGCAGCCCATCCAGAGGGCCTCACACAGCAGATGGCTTCGCGTGTTCCCCTGCTCGCTCCGCCAGGGCTGGTTCGCCGGGAGGAACTTGGCGATCTCCCAGGTGACCACCAAGTATCTGCTGTGGGTGGACGATGACTTCCTGTTCACGGAGAGCACGAGCTTGGAGCGCATGGTGGAGGTGCTGGACAAGACGCTGTTCGACGTCGTGAGTTTTCCTCTCGTGTTTTGATGCCACGCGCGAATAATCGTGATCTTAATAATCATCGGCGTAATCGAGTGGCGAGCGTGGTACTGCCGCTGAGCCACTACTCCACATTCGCAGTGTGACGCAGTGTGACGCTGTGTGACGCTGTGCGACACGGTTTGACGCTGTGTGATACAATGTGATACTGTGCGACGCGGTGTGATGCTGTGCGACATGGTGTGACGCTGTGTGATACGATGTGATGCTGTACAACGCCGTGAGATGCTGTGCCACGCTGTGCGACGTGGTGTGACACAGTGCGATGCTGTGTGACACAGTGTGACGCTGTGCAACACGCTGTGGCATAGTGTGACTCGGGTGTGACGCTGTGTGACATGGTGTGACGCTGTGTGACATGGTGTGATACTGTATGCCAAGGTGTGATGCTGATGCTGTGTGACACGGTGTGACATGGTGTGACGCGGTGACACGGTGTGATGCTGTGTGGCACGGTGTGACATGATGTGACGCGGTGACATGGTGTGATGCTGTGTGGCACGGTGTGACGCAGTGACACTGTGACGCGGTGTAACATGGTGTGACACTGTGCAACATGGTGTGACGCAGTGTTACGCGGTGTGAAACGGTGTGACGCGGTGTGACGCGGTGTGATGCTGTGCTACACGGTGTGATGCTGCGACACAGTGTAAAACGGTGTGACATGGTGTGACGCAGTGTGACACGGTGTGACGCTGTGTGGCACGGTGTGACACAGTGACACTGTAACGTGGTGTGACACTGTGCGACACGGTGTGACGCGATGTGACACTGGGTGAAAGCAGTGTGATGCTGTGACACGGTGTGATTGTGTGTGATGCAGTGTGATGCTGTGAGACGCGGTGTGACACTGTGCAACGCGGTGTTACGCTGTGTGATTTGATGCTGCGTGACACAGTGTGATATGGTGTGACGCGGTGTGACATTGTGCGACAAAGTGTGACATGGTATGACGCGGTGTGACGCTGTGCGACACGGTGTGCGGCTATTTGACGCCGTATGACACTGTGCAACACTGTGATGCAGTGTGACGCTGTCACGTGGTGTGACGGTGAGGGTGTGACACTGTGATGCAGTGTGACGTGGTGATGCAGTGTGTGACGCAGTGTGACACTGTGCGCTGCCAGGGCCACCCTGAGCCCCACTGCCTAGGCTCGGTGAGGCCTCTTAATATCCTGTCTGGGTGCATAAAACACTTGAAATTACTGAATAACTTTTGCGTTGACATAAGCATGTTGACAGAATTAAAATCAAGGAAAGTTGTGGAATTCTGGTTAATCTATGAAGATGGCATCAAAGCCTTTTACAGAAATACTTCAGCATGGCCAACTTGCTAATTATTATACAGTACTTGGGTAATATTAAAATTTTACAGCACTGTCCGGGTGGGTACAGGGAGATCCAGCACCGGTTCAGATATCACTTGCCACTGATAACAGGGTAGCAGCCATGGCAAGGAACTGAACTCGGGGTCCGTGAGTAAACCACTGGATGAGTGCTCCAATACTGGACGTGGGAAGCGGTAGTGTAGCGGCCGATTGACGTTTCGGACCTTTGGGTCCTGTGCTCAGCATCTGGACATCTGTGAGAAAGAGCGTCATGGCTCATTGGAATTCCTGCAGGATAAATGAAGATGATCATCATTCAATTTTGATTTAAAGCTTTCGTGACTGCAGGGATTCATATTCTTGGTTCTTTCGGTAAAGTCACGTAGAAGGGAAACAATTAAATAATATAAACATAAAAACAATAGAATTATCACGACGTTTCGACTGCAATACAAGCAATCATCATCAGTTGTGAAAACCACAGCAAGAAAATTTGAAAAAACAACCGCCACTTTTTTTAAAATTGTCTTGCTGTGGTTTTCACACCTGATGATGATTGCAGTCGAAACGTGATAATTTTATTGTTTTATATTTTTTTTATAATTTTATTGTTTCCCTTCTACGTGACTTTACCGAAAGAACCAAGAATATGATCATCATTCTGAACTACGTGAAAGCAAAACTCTCCCCGGCGCCAGGTGGGTGGCAAAGTCGCCAACAACGCGTTCCAGCACAAGCTGAAGGTGGTGGCGGGCAGCCCCGAGGAGGGAGACTGCCTCTTCCGCCTCTCGGGCTCCTACCAGCAGCTCGACGGCTTCCCCAGCTGCGCCATCGTCGACGTCGTGGTCAACTTCTTCATGGCGCGCACCACGAGCGTGCGCGCTGTGGGGTTCGACCCCCAGTTCAACCGCGTGGGCCACACGGGTACCGGCCGCACGCGCGCCCGCGCACGCCCACCGCATGATTGCCGGTTCCAACGCCGCTTTTTCAGGAGGGTCCTTTGGAGTTATCACGGGCGACGATGCTATTGCTTCCCCATTCACGAATTAGCGGTGTAATATTGAATACGTGGTCCACAATGCCAGCACGCAATGGCCTCCTGTTCTTCAAATAACGTCACGGGATGTTTAAATCATCCACTGTGAAGCGTGCGGAGACGCGTATTTATTGATGGTGCACACCCCACAGTGTTAACCAGGGAGGCCTGCTAGTTTCTAACCGATAACCTTTACAAGAGGTTAACGTGTCGTAACGATGGGATATGGGCACGGCACGGTATAGGGTAACACAGTAGAAGCAGGCTATAGGGACACCTAAGGACAGTTCTGATATAAGCAACACGTGCTTGCATGACATTTACAATCTGAGTACGACGTTTCGCCAGTAATTACAACAAGCTTCATCAGGCCACAGCCAATCTGAATTGTCGTAATCAGTTTGTAAATGTTGTGGCTTGGCTCTCCAACACACCGGTGTGCTGTACTAGTGACGAATTGACACGTTCTGTTTACGTGACAACCCTTACTAGTTGGCTGTCGGATAGTGGCGGGTTTTAACGATACATTTTAATATTCACGCGCTCTAACACCCCCCAAAAAGAACTCTATTATACATTTGCCTTTGCTCATGGGTTCGATTCCCGACTCAGACGTCTTTCTGAGTGGAGTTTGTATGTTCTCCCCATTCCGCATGGATTTCCTCCGGATTCTCAAGTTTCCTCCCAGAGTAAAAAAAGAAAGAAATACACATTCAACGTAACTGGTCTTGGCCAAAACATCCCAATGCTGAAACGTCACCGACAACTTATTGAATATGGACCACACACAGCAGCAGCATCTGACGGAGCACCGTGCCACCCTTAACACAACACCGCGATTTCACAATCTCGACGATCCATTCAGGAATCGCGACTCCAGGCCAGGCACCCGCAATAGCGTGATTCTCTGCTGGGTGCGTTTCCTTACCTGAGTGCGTGATATCTTTGAACCATTCACAGAGTTTTTTATCGACGGGCTGGGCAAGCTGCGCGTGGCCACGTGCAGCGACGTCTCCATCGGTCACGCAGCCAAGTTGCCCGGAACCCAGAAGCAGTACAACAAGTTCCGCCAAGCGCCGGACGCCCACAGTCGCACGGTGCGCGCTCTCTTCTTCAAGAATCACCTCAAGTGTTACCAGATGTAGTCACGTCTTCACTGCTGGCAGCACTGGATGTTCGGAATCCAAAGATGGGGTCGCTGCCTTATTAGCCACAGGGGACCGATCCCAAGGTCAATGCAATTCCACCAGATCTCGGTACAAATCAAATCCGAACATGTCGATTCCCAGGACTGTCTGGGTCAAACCCAGTGAGGTTCTTGGCTACCCTATAGCCAAGAACCTCACATGGTTGGTGGGACTTGAATTGTACAGAGACCTGGTGCCGGCATCGTGTTGTGTTGGAACTCCGTTGCAGTGCACGGCATAGACTTGGGCTGAGAGACACGTTTGGGTTTGGTCTGCAGTGGAAAAGGTGGCCAGGCCTAGGGTGCACATGGGGCTGGTGCCGGCATCGTGTTGTGTTGGAACTCCGTTGCAGTGCACGGCATAGACTTGGGCTGAGAGACACGTTTGGGTTTGGTCTGCAGTGGAAAAGGTGGCCAGGCCTAGGGTGCACATGGGGCTTAGGTCAGGGCCAGATTAAGGTCCTTCTACCGCCGCTGTCATTCGCTTGTTTCACGCCTACTTCATCCTACCGCTGGACAGATGTCGTTACTGCTGATACGTTCATTATTTAGTCCGTGCCGTCATTCAATGGGGGTCTGCCGTGTGACGCAGATTGGCATATCTAATTTGAAATGATTGAAAAAAAAAGCAAGGTAAACCTAAAAATAGTGAGCGAAAAATGTTCAATGATGTTTTACTATCATTATCATCAGATGACGCAGCTTTAAAAGAATACTGTTCATTTTCATCAATATCAGTGTGTTGTATATGTGGGTTATGAAAATTTGATGAAAATAATAAAAAGTAAATGATTTTTTAATTTGCATAAATATCCGAAATTATGTTAATTTGTGTAATTATGCATATAATTATGCTAATTCGAGAGATAATCGTATTAATTTATGCGAGTGTGTGTGATTATGATAATGCAGGTCGTTATGATAATTAGGGTCGTATCCAATCGGGATAAGACAATTAATCGTATGCAGTTATGCAGGTGTGCGTGAATGAGAGAGTCAACTCAGCTTCATTGTTTAACTCCGTATTATCAATAAGGATACGATTATTCTCGCTTTAACATTTATTGATTATGTGTGTTAGTGTGCTTATGATAGGTCCCCCAAGTTCATATCTCAATCGCAGAACAATTCTTGTGGAATTTCAGAAAGAATCACACACAGCCCTTCTGCATTAATCAATTTTATTTTCTAGCTAAACTTTAATTTTTGGATAATATGAGAACTCTCAATCTCGGAATATCAACACAGTATTAACACGGTAACCATCACGATTGCGTTGTTTCACTTTGGTCACGGCACGTATGGTTAACCACCGCGTAGCGCGACCTCGGTTGTTGAGAGAGAGACAAAAAAACATGCAAAGGCGACTCTAAGCAAAACCTTAACTCTCTATTATGAATGATTATACTGGAATTTGCACACACAGTACCGCATTCATTCCTAGATCCATAACAAGATTATGCCATTAAAGACGACCGACTAAAATATTTCTCAGTGACCGTATTCACGTAACTCGATGGCAACAATGTTCTTCGTTATCAATTGATTTTTAATGCACCACCTTGGAGTGGCAACCCTTCTTGATTGTCCCGATATGTGTATCGTGTGGCTTCTTTATCACTGGTTCAATTCTTTTCGTAAAGCAGACGCCGAGGTTGGCATCTGTTGTGTCAAAAATGTGTTTGTTCCCTGCGGAGCGGTGGGGGGTGTGAGGGTGAGTGTTTGGGGGAGGGGGGGGGCATATGAACACGGCTGCCAGTTTCTGTCCACAGCTGGCTGGAAGAGTCGGCACGACGCTCGCCGTCGTCGCGCGATGATCTGTCGTCAGACAGCGCCCGCAGCTCGTCCGCTGGCTGTAGTTCCTCACTCTTGTCTTGGTTCCCAGCTGCTGCTGGTCGGTGTGCGTGTGGGTCGAACCCACGGCGCGCTCGCTGGCGCTGACACTCTTGCTCACGGGCGGCTGGTCAGGCTCTTTCCGCTGCTGATTGAGCCAAGTCGCACGCGCTCTCTCTCTGTTGAGACGCCCGAGCGCTCTCAGCGCCGATTCGCTGACAGCCGGCTTTCTTCACTGCTGGATGACTGCTGCACGCTCTTGCTTGGCGGCTGGTCAGGCTCTTTCCGCTGCTGATTGAGCCACGTCGCACGCGCTCTCTCTGTGGAGATGCTGACAGCCGGCTTTCTTCACTGCTGGATGACTGCTGCACACTCTTGCTTGGCGGCGCTGACTCGTTGACTCTTTGTTTGTTGGCGGCTGGCCAAGCTTTTTCCGCTGCTGGATGGCTGGCACTTGATGTAGGAATAAGTTTTGAGCGATACTTCGTTCCTCAGCCCTGAACTCACTTTCGTTGATACATCGCGACTCAGTGATCCTCGCTACTCAGCGAGGCTCGCGCTCCTTGGAGCCGGCCGTTCGCTGCGACTGCTCGTGCCTTGTCGAACTCCTTGAACTGTTGATCTGTCTTGACTGAACTATCAAAATGCGGCTGACCATTATATCAAAAATATTCTCCGCTCTGCGCAGTGAAAGGGGGGGGGGGGGGGCGTGGCCTGTGTGTGTGTGTGTACGTGCGTGTGTGTGGCATTCCACAAGCCATCTGCGTTATACGATCCTGGGGAGGGGGCGACCCTCTTTCTTTGACAGGTTTTATTTCTGTTTATGACTCATCACCTGGATTTTCTGGTTTAATGGCCCTGTTACGATCGATATCTGGTTTTCCTGTGTGACTGGCTTACGTTTTTAATTAATTTTGTCACTAAAAAAATGATATATATAACCGCAAATAGTATTGTTAATATCAATTTTGGAAAAGGCTCATACAGCCAACAAATGTCCTGACAGGACGACCGTATGACGAGTGCCATGTTGATTGAATTTTTCATTAAAGCTTAAAGATTTGTTTGACTTATTTTCGGTGCAATACGCCTCATGAGTCAACGATTTTCTACCACCGCAATGAAATTGCAACGAGCAGCCATTCGAATAAATGTATTCAAGAAGATATCTTGGTTACATTTTTTTCGTACAAACAAAAAAAGTCAACATTGTTTTTCGTAGGCCCTTTTAGTTGATTGGATAATGCCGCCCTGGGTGAGGTTTGCAGGCTTGGCTCACGGTTCATTATTATCAGGGACTTGAACTCTTCACTTAAAGCACAATCGTTGTGGAAACGGTCTCGTGATGTATTTTTGTCGTGTCGAAAATGATTGCCGACAGCACTGGTGGGAATTTGTGTACGAGACTGCTTGCGCGTGGGCGTTCTTGCCGGTATCAGTTTCCACGCGTGTTTATTTTACCTATGGATGCAGTACTTTAAATAAATATAAGGTGATAATTTTACTGTTTTGTATTATTTTATTGTGTCCCTTCTACGTGACTTTACCGAAAGAACCAAGAATATGAATCCCTGCAGTCACGAAAACTTTAAATCAAAATATAAGGTGTGATTGTTTACTCAGGTTAGAACTCAAGAGACCAGGATAAATGTAATTTTCAAGAGTGGCCAGGAGCATGTCTGCCGGCAGGGGGCGGTGATTGCTACTGCTGTGATCCCAGTCGAGTACCGTAATTTGCGGTGGCTTTTTGGGAATTTGGCAAACGAATCTTATGGCGAGCGCCCCGGGGTCCCGAATAAACGGAAGTCAAAATCGTATTTTATTTATTTATGTTTGGCGACTCCCGTCCCACCGCGCACATAAACGCTGCGACCCACCTGGCGCAGATCGTTCCGCTGTCGTGTCCAAGCACAGCGAGGACGAATGCGCAGAAGAGCTGAACAAGCACTCCATGCTCGGGAATGGGCAGGATCATGAAGTCTTATGCAAAGCTGCTCAAACTGCCTACACGACTTAAGTCCTTTATTTATCGTAACGGTATGCATCATTTTGATTTAAAGCTTTCGTGACTGCAGGGATTTATATTCTTGGTTCTTTCGATAAAGTCACGGAGAAGGGAAACAATAAAATAATAAAAATATAAAATAATAAAATTCTCACGACGTTTCGATTATTATTATTCGTCTCCCCCTCCTCTTTGCCGAACATAGATGGACTCGTCCATCTGAACAAACTGTCAAATCACTCTCCGTGGTGCTAACGCTAAAAATAACCGCCACTTTTTCCAAATGTTCTTGCTGTGGTTTTCACACCTGATGATGATTGCTTGTGTTGCAGTCGAAACGTCGTGAGAATTTTATTGTTTTATATTTTTATTATTTTATTGTTTCCCTTCTACGTGACTTTACCGAAAGAACCAAGAATAGGTATGCATAATAATAAGTGAAACTGCTCTCTTCATTATTGTGTGACCTACCAATGTCTGCAGCCAGGATCAATCGATTACAATCCTATTACCTGCAGATATTTAACAGATGAGATGAGTTGCACCGTTAATTCCTCCTGTTTGATAATACTTCTCTTGTCTGTATGCATCTGTGCAGATTTTTTTTGCGGTTAAGCCATAGTCCCCACATACCGCCAATATCAATGATAAGAGTAGCGGCGACTCACTACTCTGTAGAGTAACATTGCTAAAACCGCTTGTTACAATATGAACAGCGCATTGAGAACGCGTACTATTTTATGTACTCTTTACAAACTGTGTTCACAAATCTACACTGATTAATACGATGATTGACAGAGGGGTGTAAATTATTTTTTCGATAGCGCATTTAAACAGAGGTACGGCAGGTAAGTAGTTTTCCGTTTTAAAGGCATATTTTAACAAGACAACACTTGCCATCCTTCAAACCCATTGGTTAAAAAGAGCAAAGTTAGTGTTTACATTAGAATACAATGTTTATATTATATATGATATGCTTACATTATAATACAATGTTTATGCGAGAGCCGGGGGTTTCTGGGACCCCGGGGGTTCCGCCAAAAAGTTCAAATGTGTACTCAATGCAAATGTAGTCTGGGTTCAGAAACCAGACAAACTCGCTTGGATTTGCTTCAGTATTTTCAGGTAGTACTGTACTGATTAAAACCTCAAGTCATAAATAATTTAACTGTATGCACTTCCCTGAAGTTTATATCGATTATATATAATGTAACCAATATCCATGTTTTACTCTTATTTGGCAGTAAAGTAGTTCAACTGTTGCAAGTGCAATCATTGAGAATGATCAAGTGTTTCAAAAAAATAAGTACATTTCTAAAGTTTCCGTGGTGTTGTCGATTCAGATAATACAAATGACTAAAGTGCAGCTTACTGATGTGGCTTGTTTATCAACTTTAATTTCTGAAAATGTGCGCATCAGTCTCTTGGTCTGGTGCGGTTGAGAGCGGATGAGTGTTTACGCACCCGCCCTGTTATCATGACAGATAGCCATCATGACAGATAGCCAGTCCCCCAAGCAGCAAACGTCCACAACATTGATCCAGGATGGCCCTCTGCTGTCAGAGCCGTGTTACTCCACGCGAGACGACACTTTCACAAGCCAACGATGGACGAATGTGCAGGCGTGCAACCCCACCCAGTCGCTTTTCCAATGGAAGAACTTTCTAATGTACTCCATCTCCCTTCCATCGTCTTTCTCCAAGCTCCTATGAATCACCTTGCTCGTCGGTTTAAGAAATGGCTCGACTACGGATCACAACTTCCGACAGTGCTGTGTTTTTGCAGGCCACGACTTTTCTGGCCTTTGCTCAGCCAGTGTTAAAGCATACATTTGGCTGGGAGCAACACAATGGCTGGAGGCGCCGGCAACTGGGTACCACGTGGGCCCGCAGAAGGCCGCAACACGTGTTCTGTAGGATGGTGGCCCCACGCAAACCGCTCAGTATATCAAGAACCCTGGTGTGCTTCTAAGGGCTGACGAGATGTGGTTATGGGTATTGCTCGTGATCGAGGTGCAGGGCTAGGCGTATTTTTTTGTCAACTTCCGGGAATTTCTGTGGAAACGAGACGTCTCGTAGTCGACTGCAGTTTGGCTGAACACGGACGGGTAAGTCAGTCTGGTAGACATTAAATCGCACATGGGTGGGGGAATCGGCAAAGGGCAACGAACAAAGCATTCGCATTGCTGTAGTAAGAGAACACCATAAGTATATTGGCATCCGATCGCGGCCTTTAGGGAATGTATTATTCTAACACAACAAAAACGCAAGGGTTGCCCACAATTGCGGATGTCAGCTCAGTGGTAACGTTTGTCGAGGCCCTTGGCTCGATTCCCGACACGGACGCCGGTGTGTGGTTTATGATTTCCCTGTCCTGCAGTACGAAGGTTCATATTCTATTCAGGGCCCGTCAGTACAATGTACCCGATCCCAATCCTGGGCCTTCCCTAGATCGACTCGGCGTCAAAATACCTGTGCGATGTGTAAACACTCGTCACTTTTAATTTAAAGCTTTCGTGACGGCAGGGATTCATATTCTTTGTTCTTTCGGTAAAGTCACCACGTAGAAGGGAAACAATAAAATAGATTGCTTGTGTTGCAGTCGAAACGTCGTGAGAATTTTTATAATTTTTATTGTTTCCCTTCTACGTGGCTACCGAAAGAACCAAGAATATACTCGTCACTGGTTGATATTCCAGCCACCCACCTCCTCGTGTGCCGTGACGGCCTTCGTAGGGGGCTCGCTAACAGCGATTGCCCCCCAAACGGCCTCGGGCTATACGGGGGACTTTGCGACGCTGGCATGTTCTCCATGTCGCGCATGGGATTCCTCCATTCTACGAGCCAACCTCTTCCCCCCTACAATGTAACTCGTATTTAGAAACAAATCAAACGTTGCAAATTAACAAATGGAATTACTGTACACATGGCAATCAAGCCCCCCCCCCCCCCGCTACTCGCCATTTTTACGACTGCCCTTCTCCAAAGCTTAATCTTCACGTGCAGCGTGTTGGTGCGCTGTAGAAAATAAATAAAAACATTTTAAAAAGCCTCGGCCCGGCCAGGTCTGCCGTCCCGCGCACTCCTCGTGTGAACACGGGAGCCAGGACCGATCGTGTCCGAGAGAGCCGAAGACTGTCGCGGTGCGAGAGAGTTCTGCGAAAGCCGCGCTGGATCAGTCCCCAGGTTTCACGCAGCGCCTTGCGGCCTCGTCTATCCGTTCGGGTTCATCACGCCCAGCGCGGTCGGGCCGAGCTCTCACCGCCCCCCGACTCCCCATTGGGAGCTGTGGGGCTCGCTCTGCCGCTGTCATCATCTCGAGCCCCACCTCATCGCGGAGGGGGCTCGATCAAATAAGATCATGTGTAAGTTATTAGTCGAGGGAAACGGCGCCACACACACGGACACGCACATGTGCAGTGTGGAATCTAAGTGTAGGCTAGGTGCAAAGGTTATGTGTGTGTGTGCTCGCGAGTGTGATGGTGAGTGTCGTGATGAGTGTGATGGTGAGTGTGATGATAGTGAGTGCCGCGTGTAGTCAGTTGTTACACAAACGCTCTCACTCCACGCCGCTCCCCTCTGCCCCCACCCACCACGTGCTGCCGTCTTTATACCGGCGCGCAGGGCAGTGTGGGTAACAACTACGGTGCGCGGGCAGCCAAATACGTGAAATAAAAAATCGCGTTCTGTCTCCTTCACCACCTGCGCATTCAATTATGAGTTAATTGACCAATTAGTGAACTCGCCCACCCTCATATTTAGTCGCCATTTAACTCATCCACATACTCATTTACTCACCCACCAATGCCGTCACTCATTCCGTCGCTCGACCAACAGTCTCCCACGAACACATTTATTTTCCTGCTTTGGGACCGTCCATAAATGACGTCACGATTTTTTGACCCCCCCCCCCTTCGTCACACGGCGTCACAAAAAGTCAGACCCCCCTCCCCCTCAAATGACGTCACAAATCTCTGCCCCCCTCCCCCCCTAAAAAATATATAAAACATGCTTCAAATCGCTTTAAACTATTGTCATTGTAGTGCGAATTTAATGTGGCGCTGCACTCTTGATGTTGTAGGAGAAAGCATTTATTAAACAGTCTATTTGAGTAGAACGTGTCGTCTATATTTATTTAAAGTTGCGCATTTTGATGTGACGTCACATTTCTCAAACACCCCCCCCTCTACGTCACACATCGTCACAAATGTCTGACCCCACCCCCCCAGGTGCGTGACGTCATTTATGGACGGCCCCATTACTCACCCACCCGTGAACTTACCTCGTAGTCCACTTACCCATTAACTAATTAACGCGATCGTTTCCTTTCTACGTGGCTTTACCGAAAGAACCAAAGAGAAACATCAACTACTGAAACCGTGGAAGTCTGCATTTACGTTTGCATAGAATCTATAGTATCTATACTATAGATAAACACAACGGTAGAGGCAGGAGAGAGCGGAGCTGCTCCAAACCTCAGCGGCGCCCAGCTCTGGTGCCGAACGGAGAGAACTGGGGGACTCTGCTCGGCGTCGGGGTCTCAGACTGTAGCTAATCCTACCCCTCAACCACGGAAAACAAGACACACCACGCATGCATTATTCACTAAACACGTGGCAGAGAGAAACGGTTCATTTTTTCGTGAATACCGCTCTGAATAGAACCGAAATTGCGCATTGCAATCACAGCGGTTTGGTGCCGATTTATTATCATCAAATAAAACGTCATCATTCTACAATTATATTTAAAACACAAGTTATTGCCACCACGCAAAGTTAAATTCACCAACTGTATGCATTGGCCAATTTTCAGGAGTCTGAAAACACAGAAAATATCAGCATTGGCGAATTCCAGTGTCGTCGCTTACCTTGCTTTTTCAAGAGAGGGCCTCCACAACATTAAACGCCACACTCCTCCGTGCAACTTGCACACTTTGGTTGTGATGGTGAATTGCTCCTCGTGCTTAGGTACTCGCGAGATGGGGGTGATGCCGAGGTGCGTGCAGAACTCAACATGCTAAATGTGTACCTAGAATGAAGTGTTGCAGTTGTGTTTCAGAACTAAAGAAACTATAAATCCAGTACAATGCATCCGATACCAATCCTGGGCCTTCCCTAGATCGACTCGGCGTCAAAATACCTGTGCGATGTGTAAACACTCGTCACTTTGTTTTTATTTAAAGCTTTCGTGACTGCAGGTATTCATAGTTTTGGTTCTTTCAGTAAAGTCGCGTAGAAGGGAAACAATAAAATAATAAAAAATATAAAACAATTAAATTATCACGACGTTTCGACTGCAACACAAGCAATCATCCACAGCAAATTTTCTTGCTGTGGTTTTCACACCTGTTGATGATTGCTTGTGTTGCAGTCGAAACGTCGTGAGAATTTTATTGTTTCCCTTATTGTTTCCCTTCTACGTGACTTTACCGAAAGAACCAATAACATAAAGAAACTATGTTTATTTCACTTGAGCATTAGATACATATTCTTAGTTCTTTCGGTAAAATATGAATTACTGCAGTCACGAAAGCTTTAAATCATTAGAGACCTCCCAAAACTCAATTAACATTAGTAGCAGTAGTTTTAACTATTTACCAATTAAAGGCTAGCCGAGTTTGTACGACTCGTTCAGAAGGGTCCTGTTTGGAATGTTTACCCAGTTTGAGATTTATATTCAGGAGGAAATGATTCCCGAAAAATAACCAGACATAAGAGCAAGTGACCACTTTATGGGAAGGCAGCCTTGCACCTTCTACAGGTACCACCCTGTTTGTTCAGAGTTGCTGAAATTGAAAGTGTCATCAATGAGAAGCATGGTAAATAAAAACACATTCACAACTCCCCAAAGCACATCTATACTCAAGTGAAAAAGAGTTTAGTTCCTGCAAAACATACCAACATTGAATTACGCACAAACACGTTTTAAGTATTTTCAATTGAATAAAAACAATGTAAGAGTTCGTTTCTAATTTAACTTTATTCAGCATTTCTGCGATGTCTGAATTTAAGAGCAGATGTGAGTAGCCTGGAGTCTCGTGCCGAGGTCTCGCTAGACCCTTGGACGGGGGAGGGGGTTATCCGGCCCAGTGAGCTCCGGTCGGCCTTTTGGGTTCATGGCCTTTAGCTGGAGCAGCTATGTTGCAAGCAACGACGTTTACATAAAATAGCGATCGTTAACGTAGGCAGCTATGCAACAACTGGAAATCGCAACACCGCGGACAATAATCCTGCTGTTTCGCTTAGCTTCAACACAAACGCCGAGTAAAGGTTTAAGGTCCGGAGATGCCATTGCATTTAATATAATATATAAATGCAAATCCGGGTCCTTATGTGAACTCGTTGGGACCCAAAAATGCCCGAGCCAACCTCTTTACACCGCTGCTGCTGAGAGAAAAGACAAAGCTGAGCATGTGTAGTCGTTTAAAATTGAAGTGAACAAGCATGACATCAAAACCGATATTGTCCAATTTCGCTGCGTGACGCTACAATAGCTGTGTACCGATATAACATGCATCCTCAATCGTCAGTCTCAGATCTATGCCACTCTGGTACTGCGACTGAAAACAGGCCCTCTGCACAACCTGTAGGGGTCTCTGGTTGAAAGCTGAATTGCCACAATATAAAGGATTGTGGCAATGGAAACCACGCTCTCCAGCCATCGGGAGAAGGGAAAACTACTCCTTTGGTTCTTTCAGGTAAAGTCATGTAGAAATAAATATTTAATTTATTTTCTTTCTACGTGACTTTGCCGAAAAAACCAAAGAGTAATTGCTGCAGTCACGAAAGCTTCGAATCAAGTTAGAAGGGAAAACTGTTAAGGCCGAGGCAAAAATGTCAAACCTTGCATGGGAAGCGGGGAAGGGTTTTCTCAAAGTGAGCAAGATATCGGGTGGAGCAAAAGCAACACGCTTGAGGCCAATTCCTTCGAAGATATCGAAGTTCACTGCAATCACACTTCAGCAGGATACTTTTGTTTTCCCACAATTGAATACTAATTTTATCAATGAGCAGAATGTTGAATTCACCAGCCAAAGTAATGAGTGCCGAGGTCATCTTCCGCTCAGGACAGAAGCACCTCCAACATAACGCGCCGTGTGGTGCCGGCGATGCCCGAGCCTCTTCAGCTCCTTGGCCGGCGTGCTCCCTCTTCACCGCTCGCCGCCCTCGCTGGGTTAACCAGGTCCAGGTCCGGCAAAGCCAAGAGGTAAAAACCATAGGATCAACCCAAACAACGAGTACCCTTTAATTTGTTTAAACATCATTGCAATATCCTTGCTAAGGTGACAAAATGAAACCGATTTATACGGAAAAATATTTCTACTTTAAACTTTGGCCACCAGCTTTGATGCGCGGAAGCCTCCCTTGTTACTTTTCTAGGCCAATGACGAGGCATACTACTATCCAACCATTTACTGCACCTCGTGATATCAGTGTAGTGGAGATGCTTGCCGACTCAAGTTACATAATGATAATGGTAGTGAGTTTTAATTAATATTGGATAAATAGTAACACGGATGAGTCTCTAGAAATATTCTTTGTGGGTGTGGATAAGACTTCATACTACAAGCTATGAGGACACATTCTTGTGCAGCTGTAGTGAGCAATAACAGCAACGTTTGTAAATTGGTCGACAATTATTTTGCCAATTAATAACCCCCTCACTCCCCCCTTCATTCACTTCGATCAACTCCTGCCACGACTTCCAGCCCACAGCTCGCTCAGCGCAGGGTTTCGCTCTTCTCGGAGCAAGTTTCTCAGCGCCGTGGCTCTCATCGATTGTTTAATGGCCCAAGTGACATAGATGACCGAGCTGTCTGCACAAGTGCCACACCTGCCGATTGCCCATTTGGATGACCGACAGCAATCTCTCCATCTTTACCATGAACACACCCGAGTGCATGGCTGGCGACAGTAATTTGACAGCAATGTTTCGGCTTAAAACAGGGGGATGTGATATAGACTTGATGAGATGTCTGGTAGTGGCATTGTTTAATTGTGCAAGACAAACCACATTGGAAGGGTAGAGCTCTCAGCCTTAGTGTTTGCAGATGAGTGTTTGAGGTAGCAGCAATGTCAACGTCAATGTATGGCCTTTGAAAGCCAACCATAAAATAACCTTCTGGCCTTTTAATACACGCGCATGCAGATGCCGCCAAGAATGTGTCAGAAGAATAGGGTAAGAAACTTTGAAATTTGGATTAAAACAAGGGAACGGTGTGTGGTAGATGTAACGAAGATGGGTAGGAAGCGTGCGCGGAGGGTGGAGAAGGGCCGGCCACCGAGACAGGCATCGTTATGGCACCCAGAGGGTCGGTGACCTTGATGGTCAGACGTAAACTCGACAGCAACTGTAGTAATCAGCGGAAGCAATTGCGATGTATGGTGATATTAGTGGCACCGGTCGCAATGACTTCTTGACCTTGAATAATTGGAATTCTTAACTCGAAAAAACATTGCCAAGTCTTCTAGATTACCATTCAGAAGGGTTTTGGGATTTTTGACAAATTCCTCGATAACACTGTATGCGTGTGAAAACTGTACCCAGAGAAAATACACATGGGAAGAACGCTCAAACCATTTTCTGAACTGCCCCTTAAGAGAAATTGCCTTCAAGCCGATGAAGTGGGGGTTGTTTTTTGCACATCATCACGAGTTCACCCGTGTAATGCACCAACCTGACTACTTTGTAACTGGATTAGACGTGCATCATCGCTCCGGCACTCCGTGTCAAACGTGGTTGAAACTGCTCATAAATTGTATTTTTTTTGTTAGTGGTGCGATGTCGTAATTTAATTTCTATGAGATGCCAACCAATTGCAACCCAAGGTGCAAATATACATTCTAAATTAAATACCAAAACACGGGATGGACGTTGCAATATGTAGGAAGGCTTTATGTGGGCAGCTCAGAGTTGCTTGTGGTTCATCGTTCCGGCCCGGTCACAGCACAGCCATGCAGGACAGCCATGCATGGTAAATTTAAACATCTGAGAAGGGAATCCTACAGCAGCGTAACCCAGTGTAATGTCTACATTGTGTCACTAATATTATCCCAATTGCGCTGTTGGAGTCCTATGTCGAATGAACGTGATTTAAGAACTGCCTCCATCAGCACAGCCTCGTGTCAGGCCAAGGAATGCCCACGGAGAATGACAACACCAAGCCACTGTGGAGTGACCTGGATAAGCCTTGCTCGTCACGAGGTCATGCGTGGTGAAAAATACCAACTGTAGCACGTTTCATGTTCGTTGCAGAGGTTCATGGTTCAGATCCAGTAACAGTCCTGATTATTCCGGCGGTTGTAATGACCGTCAAAATACTACGGACCGTCTGCTTCACAGTGGACGTCAGAGTCCACATTTGTCAAATTTAAACATTACCCACAAATTACTCAATTGGAACTATACATATCAATCAGTATCCCCTACTGGCCGACTAATGCCCCGGGTCATTCTTGTAAATGAGACTCATGCTGGCCTCTTGAAATCTTACCTGCTTAAACAAAATAAACTTGAAACTAAGAGAACACACCTTCATGTTCTGTAATACGTGGTCAAATAACCGACATTTATCAATTTCACGCATCAAGTGTTGGCCTGGACTGAGTGAACTAAAAAATTAATCGGTGAAAAGTTGTGCCGTCATTGGCGATCTAAGATTATCCGACTCATGTCAATGTCCACACTCGAGGCAGCTCAGCCACTGTGAACACAGTAGGAGACACTCACGTCCCGAGTTATAACCCAGGATCCTGACTGTGACGCCTCGTTAATCTGATACAATAATTGAGCCCACAACTCACCCAACCACTTCCCCCAGCTACTTTAAAATTAAATTTAATTTCAACATATTAGTAAGTAACAACCAATGTTGAGTGACTGGCCATGCTTGAGAGTAGACGCAACACCAATGATGGCGTTCTCTACTGCAGGCTCGCCAAGGCCAGGCTTCGTGCAAGGGGGCACCATGCCCAGACGTGCTTCTGCAGGTTTCCACTCACGACGTTCACGAAACACTGTGCAAGATGCATAGATTGTTATATCTGCAGATAGGATTATTGAAAAATAGTCAAGGCTTTAGAATGCAACTATGAGACTTATGACAGACATAGAAGCTGAGGTTGCATGTGGAACTTTCTACAGGCGACAAGAGGGCAATTACTGCTCCAAGTGTCACCCGCATAGTAACCGGCGACTCGGAGTCTAATCACCTTCAGACTGAAGATCCAAGGGACGCATGGCAGGGTGAGAGGGCAATGTGTCGTCACTGTCAGAGACGGAGAGTCGATTGTGGACATTCTAACGGAGTTGATGTGCACGAGCCCCAATTTAGCTCCCCCTAAACGGGGTTACACCAACCTATCGATTTGTTGGCCAAAGATAGCCGGCGTTTTGCAACGTAAAACAGTGATGCGACCTCGTAGAGTGCCTAGTGAGCGTGCTGGGCATGCATCGCCCGTTGTCGGCCTGTGAACGCTGTGCATGCACCACGCGCCACGCCTCAGCCCTTACGCGGGCTGCCAGGCCTTGGCCAGCGCTACGCCGCCTGCAGCCACTGTCTCACGTCATCAGTATTTTACAAACGGTAAACTTGCCGCTGAATAAAACTTCAAGCAAACCCGTATGCCCAGCCGTTTCCTACAAATAAAAACAATTCGTGTCAGCTATCTTACATCGAAGTCAAGTGAATTCAAAATATCTGAAAAAGTTACGCGCCAGGCTACACGACACGCTTATCCCCCGGCTCCAGCATGAGCTACCGTTAAACGTAACGGTCTACAACCACTTCTGCATTCGTCTCAATCAAAGTAGGGTCACTTTAAAATTTACATTTATAGGAACAACCCAAAAACGTGTACATTGTTTTGTTTAAATGCGTGATTTGGCAGCCAAAATAGGATTTTAACACGTAAACATTACATTTTATTCCTCAACTGAAATGCCAGCTGCCAGGGCCCTTTTCGAGCGGATGTGCTGAGTGTGCAGCCGAACTTTAACAGAGGTCATGTCCGCGGTGTCCAAATGTCACGAACACTGGGCAAGAGATTGCTTCAGCAGCCAGGTTGGAATCTGGGTTTGGACATGGCGTCCACACCTTGACATCTCAAGACGCAGAACTTAGGTGGCAGTCCCCCTACTGGCTCCGCCGTGACCCCACGCGCCAGCGCCACCGCAGCTGTAATTTTCTGCACACTGTCGACGTCAAAGTAGGGCAGCCCTTTCGCTGACTTTGCTCCAGAAGAGGGCACAAGTGAACCATGAGAATTGTGGTCTTAGATTTGAAGGTCCCTTATTGTGCAAGTTTACAATGCACTCGTGGAATGAGGGGTGCATTTGTACACATTTCAAATGTTTATGATGAGATTTTCAATGAGGTTACGCCCCTGCTTCATATAAATCAGGTCTATGCTCAGGTGATAACTTCCTTCTCCCTCGGGAATTCCAGTCGTCAAAGTGCTGCAGCCGAACTTGTGGTGACTTTACCCCACGACTGGACGTCCTGCTGGACAAAGAGCTTCATAGCTCATCTGATTCCTCCCATCTAAATAAAGATTCAGATTTTTTTTTTATCCCTCACCCCTCGGATTTCCACTTAACAAAGTATACCTCCTCGGTAGCGATTCATTGCACTCGTGTCAGGTGACCGATGACGCACGCCTTAGTTGCATCCGCAGTTTGTTGCACACTGGTGTTTGGGTTGCTCCTGCAAGTGAAGTGTGAATGATTTATAGGCCTGCGTAGTGTTTCCCCGGGAGGTCGCCACGGAGGACCGTGGTGGCGCCAATCCAACGGCGTCTCGATGCCTCTCTGCGAAAGAACGTACGACGCCGGCAAAGCAGGTAGGCGCAACCCAGCAATACCGTGGACGCGAGTGTAAGATGACGGACCTTGCGTTGAACCACCGCCTCCCTTGTCATGCCGGTCCGACAGTGCCTCAAGCGCGAGCATGAGGGGGCACCGTCTGAACCCGTGCTCTCCGGGCTCCCGCGGTGCCCCGGCTTTTACAAAACGCGCAGCGCGCACCGTCCTGCTGGGGACGTCTTCACGGAAGACGGCGGGGCGGAGGGCCGGGGGTCGTTGGCGGCCGCGTCAGTAGGTGAGGGGGTTCATGATGAAGAGGCGCTCCTCCTCCTTCTTGATCCAGCGAAGCAGCTTGGTGATGGCGTTGATGGCCGCCGCCTTGGTGACCAGTGGGCTGAAGCAGGTGTACAGTTCGAAACCGCTCGTCACCTGCGCGGCACACACGCGGGCATCGAGAGCACCGCTGTAACTATCACGCTGTTCTGAGCTTTTATCACCAGGAAGGTGCTTTTAAAAAGTACGTTACGCACACACACACACACACTTCACAGCAGTTGTACGTTGATGACGTTCATCTGAACCGTGACTAACGTGATGGTCCGTACACTTCCTACATTGACCGTATTGTAATAAACGTGAGGGAGATCGATCCTCTGTGGCAATGAATAGGCAGTCGGCCAGTCATTTGAAGAAGTCTCCTCAATGGTCCTCCCCACGTTACCTGCAGCTCACTCTATTGAGAGTGCTCTACTTATCAGTCTTCGAGCACGCATATTTGTCCGTCTGTTTATTTTATTGCTCAGAATCCTTTTTCTCAATGCACAATGTTTATGGTTGAGTGAACCCCCAATCCTCTGGATGCATTCCACAAAGTGCATTCTACAATATGCATTCCACAATGCGTGTGTCATGACGATGTCTTGTGTTGTCGCCGAGGCCCGCTGGAACCTAGCGGTGGCGTGGAACCGCACCGGGACCTCTGCGGCGCTGGTTCGGTGCTCGGACATCAATCGTGAGCCCTGCATTTACACTGCGAGATAATTACATGCGAGAACAAAACGTATGAATGAGAGATTTATGGAGAGTGTATAATGTTTGTGCCCATGACCAAATCACCTGGAATGCACCCAATCTCATCAGATCTAAGAAGATAAGCTGGTTTGAGCCTGGAGAGTGCCCGGATCAATCGCTGTGCGCTGGTGGGCGGAGAGCGGCGTGGCAAAATCCGCTGTTGTACTTTCCATCTATGGTCCGTCGTCTACGCCACCCGCCATCACCAACCAGCAGAGCGAGATTGTGTTACATGACCTCCAAGACCCTTGCCGCGTGTGGCGGCCCTCGTCAAGCGTCGGAGTGACCCACGAGTGGCCGGGCGGCAGCGCGAGGCCACGGAGGAGGCCCCCACGTGTGCCTGCGTTGGCGCTCACCCAGGCGAGCAGCGTCTCCTGCTGGCGCACGTGGTAGATGAGCTTCAGCGGCCGGGACGCGTTGTGCACGCGCCCGTGCAGCTGCTGGTAGAGGTCAAAGAGTCGCTGCCTCGACTCCGCCGAGCAGTACGGGGCCTCCAGCTCGGGGCTGAGACACGCACGGATACACACACGCACGCAAAGGTCCCCCGTAAAACCCTTAACAGACTGTTGGGGCAAGTGCTGTTAGTTAGGCCAATATTATAATTTAATTATGAATCATATCGGCTACGAAAGCCAACGCGTTGGGCGTGGACCGTCTCGAATGCATTCAGTCGCTGTGCGAACCGCCGCTGCGTTTACTGCCCAGGCACTGCGACCCCCTGCCCACCCGCTCCCACCTGGTGAACTGCGAGGTGCTGCGGCACTTGTACATGAAGTGGCGCAGGTCCGGGATGCCGGTCTGCGCCACGCTGTACGAGTCGCTGCCTAGCGCCGCCAGCACTCCGCTCAGCGCGTCCTGCCGCCGCATACGCTCCAGCGCGCGGCGCCGGCAGTCGGAGGCGGTGAAGAAGGCCTCGCGGTCGGCGCACAGCAGCAGCAGGCACAGGTTGCAGGCGTCGTCCAGGTAAGAGACGTGCGCGTAGAAGAAGCCCGAGGGGTTGAATTGTGGCAGGCAGATGGGCAGCCACACCTCGCCCTCGCTGAAGGAGGTTCGCGATGCGCTCACCAGGTTCAGCAGCAGGTGCAGGTCGGCCGGGTGCAGCGATTGCTCCTTCAGGCGCACCATGCTCACCTGCGCAAGAGACAAAGATCCCCCCCGCCGTGTAGCCTTTGAAAGACCGTTGGGGCAAGCGCTGTTAGTGAGCGCCTATTAAGGTCGGCAAGGCGCACAAGCGGAGGCGTGGCAAGCAGTACGCCTCACCCTCTGTCTCTTAAGTAGTCATGTTTAGTACAAACCATATCAGGTATTAATTTAAGTCAACCTAAGGAAGGCCCAGGACCAGTTCAGATATCACTCACAGGGCCGTAGCACATTGCGATAACCGCTGCGCCACCACTCTCATACACACGTGCACATGTACGCTTGCAGCCAAACACACAAGCACAGGGCAGTGAAGAAGCCTCCGGCTTGGTGATGCCAGGGCTGTCTTCTAAAGCTTTGTGGTGGGACTGGTGGACCTGCAGGCTTCATCAAGAGCGTGGCATGCACAACGTGAGGATACGAGGGGGCCAGGAGGCAACAGCATCGTAAGTAGGTTATTGATCATTCGATGAGGAATATTAGTCCACACGCAAATACTAGGGACACATTCGGCTCGAGATCCATGCTGAACTCCGAAGTGACTGGTACCCACTAGGTGGTTCTTGGCCAGGATGACGGAGAACACCAAGTCCTTGTCCTTGGCCTGCTGCAGGCTCTGGCTGACGGAGTCACGCAGGGAGCCGGGAAGCGGCAGGCAACGCACGGCCGACAGCAAGAAGCAGGGGTCGGTCTCCATGAGGTCCAGCAGGCTGTCGAGGAAGCGCTCCGTGCCGGCCAGCAGGCGGCGCAGGTCGTAGCTCTGCTTAGTCTGGAAGACGCGGTTGAGTTGCGTAGCCGTAAGCACGCTCAGGATCTGGCTGTAGACATACTGCAGCTCCTGCGCCAGCTGCTGCTCCGACTGGCGGCTGCGCGACACGGCCACCAGCACCAGCGGGCCCCGCTGCAGGAACACGACGACGTGCGTGCCTGCGTGCCGGGAAACGGCGAGGATATGGACATGAATACCAACATTGACGCCACAACTGCGCAAAAAGACAACAACACTATTCTATACTTGTGCATGGCAGTATGTTCAGGAGCTAGATGCCAATGTTGAGGCGTACTTGTCATGAGAGGGCATCAGTAGTTTTGCTGTTCCTCCTCCTTCGTTGAGGGAGTGCAGACTCCAGTGGTTTAGTTTAACATGTGTGCTTTCGCGGTCAACATTACAGTGGTTGACGATATTAGGGTTAGGATTAGGCATCTATGTGGCCATCCTCATCCCCTACTTTAAAATCTGTGCAGGATTCTCCTGAAATCGTCACGACTCTCATGGCCCATCCCGACAGATCCGGTACAGATCGCATGCCAGCACATGAACGTGTGTCGCGGGGTGGGCGTCGTCACCGGTGTGTATGGAGCGGATGGCGTTGCGGCTGGCCTGCACGAAGGAGACGAGCGCGAGCATGACGCCCATGATGGAGGAGAGCGCCTCCTCGCTGCCGTGCCGCGAGTAGATGGGCTTTCCCGCCTCGCTAAGCACGAAGATGTGCTTGCGGTGCTGCCTCCACTCGGCACTCGTCACGTCCTCGCCGTCCCGCACCGCCGCCGCCTCCTCTTCCGCCGCCGCCGCTGCCGAGTCCGGCTCGGCGCCATTGGCCGCGCCGCGCTCCGACGAGGCGTCCGACTCCGACAGGAAGTCGGCGTCGTGGGGGCTCATCACGATGCCCGCGTCCTCCTCGTCATCGTCGTCGTCACCGGCGGCGGCATCGCCCGCCTCGGGCCTGCGGAAACGAGAGCGTTCGTGTGGTCCAACTGGTCCGCTTCGACCGGCCTGCGTGCACGCAGACACAGCTACGCCAAACAGGGCACAGCCAGGACAAAATGAACTGGTGTTTCACCAGTTCATCCTGAGATGCAAAGGGGAACGATCAAATGTCTACCGTTTCACTGCCTCTGTCCCTTGAGTTATAGTGGCCACTGGCGTTCCTCTTCTGGTCGGTAGCCAGGTGGTTCTTATACGACAGCACTGACACAACAACACTGGATTTCAGCCACCCGTGATTAAACTAATGAGTAGGTTTTCAAGTGTAGCAAGTTGATGGTCTCAACCCAGGCAACAATAGATGCGAAATCATTTAATTAATTTCGGTTTTTCATTCTAAATTTGCTATGTTACGGATCTGAGAATTGAAAATATTGGTTTGACTGTTTTAGGACAAAAATATCTCGCTTAGCAGAGTGCAGGAAAATGAACCGCTTTGGAGTGCGGAATAATAGGGTAATTCCAAGGGATCAGACAATAATTTATAGAAAACATGTGTCTGGGGGCCATCCTCAAACAAACGGGAGATTTCCCTAGGAATTCTTCACGTCGTGGTATGATGCCCACAACGCAAGTGGGGAGTATCACTGTAGAAACACAGAAAAAAAGTTTCAAATCTCATTTGCATGAGACGTGTGAGCGTCGAGACCGGATTACAAACACACGGCAAGTGGCTGTGCACCACGTGGAGAGTGGGAGAAAGGAGTCCGTGAGCGCCGGCGTCCCTCACCGCGCCACCGTGCCGTCTGTGTGGTCGCTGAGAGGCGCCATCGGCCGCACCGCGACAGACGCCGCGTCGCGTGGTTGCCGGGCACTGCCGTCACCGGCGGCGGTCGCTCCGGGCTGCGCGTCCCCGGGATCGTCGCAACCCAGCAGATCGGCGTACGTCTTGACGGTGAGGAACATGGAGCTCCGCTCGTGATGCATGGCGCCTGACGGGAAGTGGGAATGACGCGCCAAGTGAGACGCACGACACACAACCGCACACCCTGACGGCTCACCATCTCACCCTAGCGGCTCACTACAACACCCTGACAGCTCACTACAACACCCTAACAAGTCACTGCAACACCCTTACAGCTCAATATCACAACCTAGCGACTCACTACAACACCCTGACAGCTCACTACAACACCCTGACAAGTTACTAAAACACTCTGATGGCTCACTACAACAACCTTACGGCTCACTACAGCTCCATGACAGCTTACTACAACACCCTTACAAGCTCAATATCACACCCTAGCGACTCACTACAACACCCTGATGGCTCACTATAACACCCTGACGGCTCACTACAACACCCTGACAACTTACTAAAACACTCTTAAAGCTCACTACGACACCCTGACAACTCACTACGACACCCTGACGGGTCACTACAACACCCTTCCAGCTCACTATCACACCCAAGCAGCTTACTACCACACCCTGACAGCTCACCATCACTCTTACAGCCGACTATATCAAACTCTGATGGCTCACTGTCACACTTTTAAGGCACACTACCACACACCCCGACGGCTTGCTGTCACATCCTGATGGCTCGCTACAACATCCACATGGTCGTGTGGCATGGGCCGGTAGCCAGGGGCCTGGGAAGCAGTGAGATGCCCTCCGCCCACGGTGCGTGGGGAGCGTAGGTTCCCGACACTACAGCTGCATGTGCTCCTCCTCTGACACACTGCATCACGCGTCGCTACACTGAAAACACGATCACGAAGACTCAGGCACCAGTGTCACGCAGGATGGCAGTGCCACCCAACTGAAGGGTTGTTTTAGTGAATAATCTGAAAGGGTACCCTTGGATATTACAGTTACACAAGGACACGTAATACCTGACCGATTTAGAGCCTCACCGAACCTCAGGGATTTTATATGGGATGGTCCTGCTACCACAAAACGACTTGCTGTACTGCCTCGCACAAGCACCAATGACCGGGGCTCCTGCTACAGCAGAAATTATTCAGGACTCCTATGCCACTCCGCCGGCATTGACGCTATTGAGTCGGGTCACAGGTCTCTTTTAGAATGCAAAGCGCATTCGTCATAAAATATGGGTATCTCAAGATAACGTGCAGAGAAGATGGACATCTAATGGGAGTTGGTGGCAGCAGAATGAACATGAGCATACAAAGCAGAAGAGATGGTAAAGGGATTGTGGGGTCAAGAAAAGTAAAATTTAGAGGCAAAAAAGAAACTGAACAAGGGGAGGAGGCAGCCATGCAAACAGCCAGAGTCAGGATAATCTAGAAACGGGCGATACCAGAAGAGAAGCAGCGACCTCCGACTGAATTAAGATTACGGGGGCTGTTAATAGGGGTCCTTTGCTTGTGAGTGTGGGGAGCGCAGGCAATGGCGCGTCGTCGCTGTGGTTGGCCGGGAGCACAGCAGAGCGGCGTGCCCTCGCTTGCCCCACTCACCCGGAGCGGGGCTCTCCGAGCGGCTGGGGCTTCCGTCTGCGGGGCCCGGAGGGGCCAGGCTGCCGGGGGGACCCTCGGCGCAGCTGGGCGGCACCGCGAGGACCCCCATGTCCTCCGCCTCCTCCGCCTCCTCCCGCCCGTCCTGAGCAGTGCAGTGTGACCGGTGCACGGCTCCCTCAGAGGTCACAGGCAGCGAGGTCGGAGATCGTGAGTGCGGCGCACTGCTCGCTACCGCGTCACCCCCCGGGGGGTCAACATCTCCCCACTGTACAACGCCAGGAGAGAGCACGATTGTGTACACATTACACACGAGTCAAGCACACCTGCACACATTACACACGTGCCAGGCAGTCGGTGATTTTGCCCTTTCCCTGTTAAATTTACAGGTCCGGCCACTCCACGAGCAATGCCTCACCTCCCCTAAAGGGTAGGAGATTTCAAGGTAAACTGCCACATTATGTCCTCAAAGTGTATTTGTGTAGCACCCGACAGCCTCCACGCTCACACCGAGCTATGTAACGTGCGCGCCATCAGCTGACAGAAGCACACACGGAAGGGCAGATGGACGCACGGCACCGAGCGTTGTGCTCACCTTCTCGCCAAAACCTGGGACCTCCTCGAGATGGGCGTCATCGCCCCTCGCACACCTGGGCGCCACGCAGTTGGGCACAGGGGGACTCGTGAGCGCAACGCAGATGCAGGGCACGGGGGCCTCGCCGGGGACGTGCCCATTGCCCTGTGGCAGAGTCGCCATCGCTGCGGGCAGCACGTCTGCACGAGGACATGCAGGACACGTGTGTCAAATCGCAAATCGCCATGCTGCGCTGATGGTTCTCACAGCAGTACAGTTTGCAGTTGCATATTTAGATCTCTTCTACTGCCAAGCAAACACCGAAATGTATCATACATGTCTCACTGTTCTCTAATGCCATCTCCCAACAACGTGGGGCAAAGTGGAGCCCAGTTTGTGGTGGGCGGTGATGAAGAGCCAGCTCTGCATTTTACGGGCAGTGCCAGATGAAGACTAATTGCTCTCTCTATTGTATGGCATTTGAAAAGCAACTGCCAAAATATTATAGCCGAGTGTTGAATCTGGTAATCTATGCGATCGCACTTCATGAGAGCTTCAACGAATGAACGAGGTGCCCTGTTGTGAATCTGGTTAAGTGCAATCTGCTCATCACATAAACCAGCACTGCTCATTACATGTGTAGAGGTGTTAACTACGCGCTGTTGCGTAACCCGCGTTGCCACCAGGGCGGTGCAGCATTACCCCTGGGTACAACGGTTGGGGTCAGTCGAGGTGAAACGGATCGTGGCCAGGGTTTGGTGCGAACCAATCAGACGGTTCCACGTGGGAATGTATGATTGGTTCTACCTGGCCACGAAGGGGTATAAGACGGGTGACCCAACGGACCTCGAGGAGTTCTCTCCCTGCACGAAGACAGAAGACTGGGCTGAAGCCTAGCTAGGACCCTGGACCAGCCTTTCAGCCCTTCTAAGGGCTAAGGCTCGGCATACCCAGTGGTCAGGACCCACCGGGCCAGCGGTGGGTCAGATAGCCTCCCCTAGGTCCTAGCCGGAGGACTAGGATAGCGGTAGACGTGTGAGTCCCGCCAAGTCCGGAGGTTGTACCTCCTTAGGTATCAAGGAGGTTAGCGGTAGACGTGTGAGTCCCGCCAGGTCCGGAGGCTGTACCTCCCTAGGGTATCGGGTGAGGGGACCGAATATCCCTCTGTGTGTGTTAAGCGTTGTATAAGGAAATAATACAATAAACAGTGTGCCTCCATAAGAAGTCTGCTCGTCCTTACAACACTACAACTGGTGTCAGAAGTGGTTGGAAATGGAAACCAGAAGTTCAGCCCACGCGCGGAGCCAGAACGAAGATAACGCTGTCTCACCTGCATGCACCGCCAGCTCCGCTGAAAACGCTGCCGCGTTGACGGCCGCCCAACCACCGGTTGAGCAGCCGGTTGCTCCCCCTGCCATGGGGGACGGACTCAGGGCAGCACACGGCCGTCTCGCTCAACTCCTACACGCCGCGGCCTCCATTCTCGAAGAGATCAACTTGGAGGTTGCGGGCAGGCCGAGTCAACCGCCGGCAGACGTTCCCGCCATCGGCCAGGGCAGACATTTTGATTTTCCCGCCGGGGAACCACGTGATTCCGCCGGAAGCGGAAGCCAGGGGCATCCTGGGAACGCGGGGGGCCCATCACAACCCGCAACGTCATCAGCACGCGACGCTGCGAATTCAAGTTTCTCAGCGGACGCCGCGTCATCACTGTACAGACACGGTACAGTAGACTCTATCGGCCGGGAAATCGCCGATCTCCGGCTCGAGACGGTACAAGCTGAGGGGGAGACGACGTCCGCCCTCCAACAACGCCTGCCCATCTTCCGAGAATTCACATCTGAAGGGGGCAATTGGGCGGCGTTCCAGCGTCGCTTCCTGAGCCACCAAGAGATGGTGGGCTGGTCGGACGCACAGGCGCTCCGAGCACTACCGGCCACTTTGGATGACGATGCTCTCGCCTCGCTCCTCACCATCCCCAGGCAACAAAGGGCGACTCTTCAATCGGCCCTTCGACGGATGTCCGACGTGTACGGGCCTCCATCTGACGTCCGCAGCCGATTTTACGACAGGCGACGCCGCCCTAAAGAGTCTCCGTTGGCATTCCGGACTGCTCTACTGGCGATGGCAAAAGCGGGTTACCCTCGCATGGACGACGAGGCCATCGATGCCATCGTTCTCCAGAAGATGCTGGAGCTGGCGCGCGAGCTGCGCATCGTCATCCAAGCGGTGGATGACGACGGTATGTGCTCGCTACGAGCCGCTCGGTGCATCCACGCACATCTGCTGCTCCACACGGAATCGACCATCGCTGCCTCGGCTTCGACGTCGGAGCCTTCCAGCAGGGATGCCGAGTTCTCCCCCGACCGGGCCTTCGTGGCGACCAGGTCAACGGGCCGGCGACCGTCCGACCACGCTGGTCGCCGCAACGACCAGCAGCGGGGACGGCCTGCTCCACGCGGCGACGTGACGTGCTTCAACTGTGGCCGACGAGGCCACATCTCCTCTGACTGCCGTGCGCCTCGACGACGCCCCTCCGCATCCCGGGGCCAGGACTACAGGACGTCCACGGCATCGCGGCAAAACCAGGCAAGTCGCGACGCCTCTCACGCTCGGCCCTCATTCACACCATACACACTGCAATGCACCATAAGAAGGGCTCGCGATTCGGCGTGTGATGGGGGGTATTCTGGCGTTTGTTCGCGGCCACTCGGACCTGGGCAGTGGTCTGAGTTGGCCCATAGGGTAGTCGCGGCGACGGCAGGTTCGTCCGTGGTTGTCGGATCAATCGAGGGTGTGGAATTTCGCGTGTTGGTCGATACTGGTGCGTCGGCTACGATCATTTCCGATCTGATTTACAATATACTGCCCGTACGATGCCGCCCCTTGGAACGGGTTTCTATCCCGTGTTTCGCCGCTAATGGCAGTTCACTTGGCATTATTGGGCAAATTCGGGCGCAAATTTCGATTGGAGACATTAAATTGGCAGGGCCTATTTTGGTCTCTTCTTCCCTCGCCGTGCCGTGTTTGTTAGGCACTGATTTTCTCGCGAAAATGCCTATTAAGATCCTTGTAGATCAAGGCTGCATCGAACTCCCGTCGGGTCGACGGATGGCGTTCTTGCCCACACCCTCACATCCGCGCATGGCTAGTGCCTCGGTGCAGGCGTTTGTTGCGAGCACAGTCCGCATTCCACCAGGGACACAAATGCTCGTGCCCTTGCAACTTAAAAAACCGCTAGCCCCGGGGGCCTCGGCACATGGCATTTTGCTGGGGCCTTCAAACGCAGCTGCTAAGGGGTTAGATTTGGTGGCTGCACAGACCCTCGTAGCAGCCGACAGGGAGCCGTTCTTGCAGGTTTTGAATGTCGGATTGTCCACAACCGTCATTCCGCAAGGAACTGTGCTCGCTCACGCGACCCCGGTGCCGTTGGGGACCGGAGTCGCGGGACACGTGCGTGACACGCCGCAGGTCCCACCTCCTTCCGAATTGGATGAGAGATGGTTGGACGCGCTCTGCACAGACACGGGTGATCTGTCTCATTCGCAGCGAATTAAATTGCGCGCTCTTCTGCGAGAATTTTCCGATGTCTTTAGTAAATCTAAATTTGATATTGGCTGCACCAAGCTGCTGCGTCACCACATTGATACTGGTGACGCTGCCCCGATTCGACAAAACCCGTTTCGGCTTAGCCCGGCGGAGAAACAGCATGTTAAATCGGCTGTGGATGACATGCTGAAGGCCGATATAATTTCTCCCTCCACTAGTCCCTGGGGTGCTCCAATAGTGCTGGTCAAAAAGCACGATGGCAGTCTCCGTTTTTGCGTTGATTTTCGGCGCCTAAATAAAATCTCGGTAGCGGACGCCTACCCTCTCCCTCGTATGGACGAGTCATTGGATGCCCTGGCAGGGGCGCACTATTTCTCCACCTTGGACCTTCTGTCGGGGTTTTGGCAACTCCCCCTCGACGAATCGTCAAAACCTAAGACTGCTTTTCGGACACCACAGGGCCTTTTCGAGTTTAATAGATTGCCCATGGGTCTCCACTCGGCCCCAGCGACGTTCCAGAGGCTCTTGGAGCTGGTCCTCGCTGGGCTCCAGTGGGACTCATGTCTCATTTATCTTGACGTCATCGTCTTTAGCCGCACGTTCGGCGAACACATCGAACGGTTGCGTGCTGTCTTCTTGAAAATGCGGGCCGCTAACTTGAAATTCAAGCCGCAGAAGTGTCACCTTCTGCGCGAGTCTGTGCGCTATCTGGGCCACATAGTTAGCCGCTCGGGCATTTCTACCGACCCTGAAAAAACCAAATGTGTTCAACATTGGCCGACCCCTACATCTGCGGGCGATGTTCGTAGTTTTATTGGTTTTGCGTCGTACTACCGCCGGTTTGTTGCTGGGTTCGCGACGATTGCCAAGCCGCTCCACGCCCTTACGTCAAAAGGGGTGGCGTTTCATTGGGGGGACGCAGAACAGGCTGCGTTCGACTCCTTGCGAAACGCGCTCGTGACGGCACCGTCCCTTGCGTACCCCGATTTTTCCGTGCCATTCGTGTTGGACACCGACGCTAGCAATACGGGGATTGGGGCTGTTCTGTCACAAAAAGTTGATGGCATTGAAAGGGTTGTTGCCTATGGTAGCAGAGTCTTGTCTCTTGCTGAACAAAGATACTGTGTGACCAGACGTGAGCTGCTGGCCATTGTTTTTTTTATTCAGCAATACAGGCCGTACCTGTATGGTCAGCATTTTACCGTGCGATCTGATCATTCGGCTTTACAGTACGCTCTGCGGGTTGACCAACCGTCCGGGCAGCTTTCTCGGTGGCTCGAAGTCCTTCAGGACTACGATTTCAATGTCACTTACCGTAGGGGTGCACAACACACGAATGCCGATGCGTTGTCTCGCCTTCCGCCGGCTCAAAAATGTGCGTGTTTTTTGGGCTCGGGCCGTTGTAAGCCACCACTGCCTGCGCAGGTCGCGCCTCTCACAACGGTGTCAGCCGCACTTCCCGCCGCCTCAGCGCCGATGTTGGATCATGCAGATCCAATGGCCAGTGACGATTTGCTGGGGCTAACTTTGGCCGAATGGGGTCGGCACCAGGGCGAGGACATGTCATTATTGAGGTTGCGTCGCCACGCGAATAATGCGGTTCCAAGACAGGGCAAATTTAATTCATTTGTCATGAAGCGTGGCTTGTTGA